GAGAGAGAAAAGTGAAGACTGTGTAGTCGCTGTCCATTTCCGGACTGATTTGGTTCTTTTTAAAAGGTAGAGGATATCAGGAGGAGTCAGCTACTTACTGGAGCTGTACAGGGACCTCACCATTTTTTCAGTGTCTTTAGCGATGAATCATTTGTATGAGCCCAGATTGAGGTCTGGGCTGAGAGAGTTAGTGAGTAGTGTCCCAGACAAGGTCTGGTCCGAGCGAGAGAGCGAGTCCCAGACAAGGTCTGGTCCGAATGAGAGAGCGAGTCCCAATAGGCACTCAAGGCATGGGGCATCCCTGAGAGAACATCTGTTTATCACAATTGATGAAACTTCTGGGTCTAATCAGCAATCGGAGGGGAAATATTACTAGTTTGGTTTCTGAGGTATTGAATATCACCAGCTAATTTTCCCCCCACCGAGATGTTAGAGTTTATTTAGTGAAATAAAGATTTAAAATTGTGCTAATATTCAAAATTTAATAATAATAATTTTGAACCTGCAAAGTTTCAGAAACAAAAAAATAGAAAAGTTACACAAAAAGATTGCTTTGTTTTTCACGATTAATCAACCATTTGCAGGTTATTTAAAGCCAGAAAACACTTTAAGATCGTAACAATCTTTTTTGAGATAATGATTTCCTGACAAGTCTTACTATCTAATTAATCCATAGCGAGATCTAACCTGATTTAGGCCATCTGAGCCATGAAGTGCATTGAGGTGAGTAGACAAAAATAAATGAATATACAGTTTAATAAATGGTGCGTCTACACAAACACATGTATCCACTAAAAAATAGCGTTTAAGTAATAAAATCTGTCGGTAATAAAAATCCATCACTTTAGAAATTGCTTTGTTTATGTTTGGATACAAAACAGCAAATAAGAGTTTGATTCATACCTTTCCCCAGGGTATTTGCAAATAAGTGAATATAACGAACCCAACCAGAATTGGAACTCTGCTCTCCATTTTCCAATTCCTAGCTATTATCCATTATGCCACATGCATATCCAAGCTTATAGCACCTAGTATTCCCAAGCAGTCACCCATCTAGAATTGGCCAGGCTTCGTGTTGCTTAACTGATCATACGAGAACCAATGTTTCAACATGATATGGACATAAGCCCTTTATACTACCCGCACATGGTATTCCAAAGCGGTCACCCATCTACGTATTGACCAAGCTCAACATTGCATAACTTCGGTGATCGTACAAGAAACGAGGTTTCAACGTGATATGACCATAGTCTTATGTAGAAAGAGGACTAATGTCAACAGTAGAAGTCATGTGGGTAAAAAACGTCTACAGTAGCATCCAAATATGATAAGTAAAATGCAGACATAATAGAAATATCAGTAGGCATTTAAAAAAAAAAAAAAAAAATACCATTCACTGAAGTTTGTGTCCATCTAGATAAAAATAATTTTTTTTTTTAAATTTACAAACCTTTACAGCAGGTCATAGTCAACTCAACAATGAAATACCAGCTAATCTGCACTAAAAGAAGGTAAGTAAAACGGTGAGATACAAAAAGTTTTGCCAACAACTACCTTCTTGTGTAAATTATAAATAATAATGTCTGTCTTGCTAGTCGGCCTACCTAGTCCCTCTTGCTCAGGCACATTTATGCTTGTTCAACCCCCCACCACCACCACACACACAGCTCTATACTATAACTATCCTGAGTAGACCTTAGTTACAGTTTCTGGAAGAGTGTGTGACCAATAGTTTGAACAAGGGTAGTACACTCAAACCCTCAGTCACGATGACTTGTGAATAAGTGCTAGCTCAACTATAAACTTTTCCGTCTACCCAATTTCACTTGGGTTCTAACCCGTACGTTTTTAGTTTTTTTTCTTTCTGTTGCATGCTGGAATTGCAGAAAAAAATTTACTTGGAAATAAGAGAAGCATGTCTAACCGCTGTCATTGGTTTTTTTTTTTTAGGGGGGGGGTGAATTGACATTTATGTCAATGTATTGACAACTAACGTCAGGGCAATTTATCAGACAGAAGGGCAGAAGTGACTGTATTTTTTAATTTTAAGTGATCCAGCTTATTTAACTATAAATTATTTCTTAAAAATTAAAATACTTTCAAAGTCTAATATTTTATTGATTTTTTAAAGTCTTTTTTTTAACGAAGAAGTGTCCAAAGCCCGCACTGTTTCCGTCCCTAAAATTGAATCTAAAAAAAAAAAAAAAAAAAAAAAAAAAAATTAATAACTGCAATATGTCTCTCACTGAAAAAGAAAAAATTGATTATATTTTAAAAAAAAAAAAAAAAAAAAAAAAAAAAAAAAAAAAAAAAAAAGAAAAAGAAAATATTTAGTGATATATGTAAAAAGAAAATGAAAAAAATTTGAAAATGCGACGATGATGGTGGGTCAGTCAGAGAATTTGACACAAAAATCAACGCAATTAATGAGGCCAGATCCACGCTATCAGGAAAAACAACTCTTAAAATACAGGACATTATTTCTGAATTGTGCCTCCGTAGTTTTTCTGGAAACGTTTTTAATACATTTTTTGGCATATTAAAAAATTATTTTAAAAATAGAAACGCTTCGCAAATTGTAATAATCTTTCAAATTTATGATGTGTAAAAATAGATCTTTTAATAAGAACATTTTCAGAGCATTTCCAGAGATGCTCACATTCAAACTTAATTTTAAAATATTTAACAACTTTATCACATTTTCTATTTAAAATTGAAAAAAGAATTCTTGTAAAAATTCATTTTTCATTGGAAAAATATTTTGACTTCAGGCAATAATGTCCTTTTCTAATTAAATAATGTCTTAATTGGTTTTTGTATTTTACAATTCAGAGGTGAATTAAAAAAAATTGATAATTTATATTCTTCAAAATCTTCTGCATATAATTCAAAATTACGAAGATACACATATTCGGGTTTTCATAAAATTAAGCCGGGTGGGTAACAGTTTTACCATGACTTTCAAAAAACGAACATTTCTAAAATAAAATAATTTAATTCATTTGTAAATAAGTTCTGAATATTTCATTAAAATCCGACAACTGTCAGATTATTTTAAGAATTTCCAAATTAATGCGTTTTCAACTGAAAAAAAAGCGCTGGAATTCGAACGTGCTAGAAGGGATTAAAAATATTTTTAAAATACTTTTCTTTCCACTTAATAACAAACATTTTGGCGATAAAACTTAGTTTTTATGAGTTTGGGCCCTTTTTTCCTGATGCTATGCTAATTTTTCGGCAAATTATTGAATAATTCCTAGGAAATTTTCAAATAAGACCATACAGTACTGACTGGGGTATCATGAAAAAATAATTCATAAATTAAGTTGCCGTTCTAAATGTTCCTACAAGTATTTGAAATATGCTTGTTAAATTATAGATAATTTATAATTAAACATATTTAAAAAATAACTGACGCTGCTAAATTGATCGGAGTTGGCCAAACCGCGGCTTTGGGAGCCATATGCGGCTCGTTGTTGAGCTTCTAAAAAAAGCTAAGAAAAAATTCACTCTTTATAATTATCTACTCAACTGGATATGAATTGTGGCCCCATTTGATTTTTAAAACGTAAGTTTAATGTTACATTTGAGTTATGTGTATGTAACAAAAACATAGGTGTCATTTTTTTTCATGTCTTGCGGCTTTCAAACGTCTGAACTTTATGGTATGTGGCTCTTCTTACCTTAAGCAAGTTTGCCCACTGAAATAGGTCAGTGATTTTTGTGGTAAACAAAAAAAAAAAAAAAAAAAAAAAAAAAAAAAAAGAAAATTAGATTTAACTTAACTTTTTTGTTTAAAAAGTAGGTTAGTTTGCTTTGCATTTTTGTTACAAGATAGTGAACGTGAAATTTTTCATTTGTTCAAATGAAATCACTTGTCACTTCCTTTGCATCTCCTGAAGAACTTAATTGGCATAAAAAAAAAAACCTTTTCGTGGGGACTTTAATGTTGAAAAGAGAAAATTATTTAAAAAAAAAAAAAAAAAAAAAAAGCCATTCTGTCAATTTTGTTTAACAAAATGAAAAATTGAGGAACATATTGTCGCATTGTCAAATAGAAGAGAAAAAAAAGTTCTTTCCATTCTACTTGGAAACGTAAAATTGTTTTCTTTCTGTATCTTGTAAAATTATTTTTCATAAGTTTTTTGAGAGAAAAAAAAAAAAAAAAAAAAAATGGTATAAATTCAGGCATAGTAAAAATACTAGACACGTTTCTTTACCAACACGTTTCGTCCCCTAAAGGAACTTACTTTTCCAAAACGCGCGTGCGCACATATTGAAAAGATCATAGTCAACAAGTCAAGGCTAACTAATAAAAACAAATTATAATTTAAAAAAAAAAAAAAAAAAAAAAAAGGAAATTCTTGTAAAAATTACATTGATTTTTTTTTCTTAAGACAATAATGTCCATAATATATTCATAATTTAATCACAAAAGACATTAAAAGCTTTTCTCATTAAAAAATATCTGAGTTTGTTTTCGTTTCGATTCAGAACAGATTTTCTGTAATTGGAGGTCCTGTTTTACAAAAAGAAATTGATGATTTAGAAAATAAATTCTCCAAAGAGTTCGGTTATTTGTTTTTTCTTTTAAAATTAAGCGGATCAAAATTTAATTTACCGAAAAAAAAAAAAAAAAAAAAAAAAAAAAAAAAATTAAAAAAAAAAAAAAAAAAAAAAAAAAAAAGATATTTTTATCAAGATTTTTAAAAGAAAAAAAATCTAAAATAATTTAATTCATTTGTGAATAAGTCCCGAAAGTTTAATTGTATTAAAATCCGACAATTATTTGCTTTTTACAAGAATTTCGAAATCAGTGTTATATGCGCCATGTTCCTTCAGGACGTGGGCGATCATGGCTCTCAACATCTTTTATTCTTACCCCTTCTTTGTAACTCTTTAAAAAAGATTTATCATTTTGCTCTTTATCTCCTAATCCCTGCCAATATCCACGCTAAAAAATGACATACGTTGATCTTTTAAACTTCTTACGATCTTACCTGGAGTTTTTCTTTCGTATAATATTTTGTAAAGAAGCTCTGAGCATTTCTGTGCGTTGATCGTGACCCACAATATTTTGCCTATCCACTTTCTCAAACATCGTACAAGTTTTTGGAAGAACAATTCTGGTGCGCAAATATTTCTCTTCTTATTGTAGGATGATAGCCGCTGATCATGAAGGCTCATACTTGGAAAAGCCCTTTATGCATGACTCGCCGCCAAGTCAGTCTCCCTAAACAGAAAGCTGGGAGGAACATGGTATTTTTACATCACTGTTTAAAAGGCTCATCAAATACAAATAGAATTGGAAGGTAAAATTCACTATATGTATTTATTTTAAGTAAATAACACTGGGAGAAGGAAGAGGTAAAAGGGAGATAATGGTGAAAGTTTAAAACTTCCTGACGAACTTAAAGTGCGCATTTTGTCTGATGAAAGTCTAGAAGGTAGAAAAACCAAAGGGGTAGAGAGGAAAAAAGAAAAAAAATTAAAGGGGTGGCGGGTGATATTAGAAGCATATTTTTTCTTTTTGCAAAATCTAAATCAATTACATTTAAGTAGGCACTTTCCCCCCAAAGAAAAAAATGCGATACCTAAGGTCTAAATCTAAAAAGTAAAAAAACGCATTTTAAAAATAAGAAAACTTAATTCCGTTAATAGATTAAATTTAATAGTTCCAATAAGCAAAATACTTTAGTGTATTTCAAACTGAATTTAAAATAAATTGGAATGACAAAAAAAAAAAAAAAAAACCGCTAAAATCGGACATATTAACAAATCTGTCAACACAATTCTCTTTATTAAAAAATAAAAATAAAAATATGCTTTTCTGAAATGTTATTTGAGAAAATTAACAGATTTAAATTTTAATTAATCTGAATTAAAATAAATAGTTTAAAATCTCTATAAAGACATTTAACATGGAGGTGGGTGTTTTCATCAAGTACTGGCAAATTTATCGAAACAATGTTTGGCATTTTTAATTAAAGGGTAAAAATTTCTTGAGTACAATGCGAACACCTTCGAGAGAGAATTATTAAAGTGGAACCAACGGACAAATCACCAAAAGGCCTACATAACCTTTAACAAGACAAAATCTTACAAAAAAAAAAAAAAAAAAACAACAAAACAAAAGAGTAAAAGATGAAATGTCAAACACCTACCTACTCAGTAAAGCACTTAACATCTAGATTACTTACACAGAGCAAAAAACGCTTGACAACATTAATACCTATGAAAGGACTAGGGCCATCCTTTCATTTGTGTGTATGTTGCTAGGTGCATGTTCTGCATTCCTGATGCATAAAAAATTCACTCAATTCTCAAATCGCACTTCAATTCTGCCATGAAAAATGATACATTGCACACGTAGTGACCTTAACATAATAGCAGTAGCAGTCCTAAATAAACCTGGTATCATCAGCAGCTCTCAAATATAAAAACACACAAATTCTAAAGTGTGTGTGTGTGTGTGTGTGTGTGTGTGTGTGTGTTTGTTTGTAAGACATTAACTTTCCATGCTGAAGCTAAAAGGGCTATGAACGCTTCACACTAAAACACACCAACACACTGATGTAGCAGCGATTACATGTGTTTTTCACTGGCAGATGAATTCCCTCAGAGAAGTAAATTGGTTGAGCTGTGAACCACTCAAATCCACCGGTGGAAGAATACAAAAGCCTGCTGTGAGGAAGAAAAAAAGGGGGGGTTCTCTCTTTAGTCGCAGCCGCTAAGGGACCAACAACAGACGATGAGCTGCCGATCGCTACCTCGCCTCCTGAACCGACAACACACTGTTCTTACCGACAAACTTTTGTACAACCATGTATGGACAGTGTACCCAAAACTTTAGGTATTTGTTGCCTGAAGGTTACCCGAACAAACCATTAAACTTTATGTAAAGGGATTATCGTTCTTGTTACTTTTCTGCCTGAAATTGCTGACGCTTACAGCGATCATTAATCCTTCTTTACAATAAGTCCTACTTGAATATATTCATAAACATCTTGTTGTGTATGCAATTTACTTCTAACAAAGTAACTCTTGTTCTACTAAATGTTCCTTTTATTAATTTTGTTTTACTTTTAATAAATGTTATTTTTGCATTGCAAATCAATTGGTCAATTATTTTCTTCATATACTCTCTTCACTATTATTTCGTGTACAACAAAATATTCCTGTAAGAAACCTTACACATTTAATTATTGAAGTAGTTAATCCAGGGTTGTAGCAGAGACAAAATTTGGGGGTGGTATTTAGAATTTAGTCTTAAGTTATTAAAGGGCGCCAATATGGTTAGCGGCATTTAAAATTTCCAGTCTTTCTAAATTGGCAGAAATCATCTTTGAAATAATAGAGAACCGCCTATGTTATAAATGAAAGAACTTTTCATTTTTATATTTTATTTTATTGGACTCACCACATTTATGAATTAAAATGAAAAACCCACACTATAAAGGGAAATTACCATCATCGTATGCCTTTAACGAAGAATTCTTTCATGAGGGTTTTATGAAAGTTATATTCTTTCTTGCTTTTTTTTTCTTGTATTTCTTTCTTTATTTTGGTAAAATAAAACCCTGTAAAAAAAAAAAAAAAAAAAAATACTACAGCTGGTAAAAATTAGGAGGGGAGGGGCAAGACCTTCCCTGGCCCCTACAGCTCTAATCACTAAACATAACTAATAGTAACAGTTAACTAACAACCAATTCCTTTTACTAAGTAAACAATGATGCATGTTTAATTTAAAATGTAATTAATAATATTTCTTATGGAACCGAACATGACTTATTTGTCAAATGAATTATGATAGATTGTCTTTAAAAAATAGTTTCTGGTTGCATAAATTATAAAATTTATTAAACTATTAGTGCAAATGTTTAACTAAGAAACAGTGACATATTTGTTATGATTGCTACACAATTTAATATATTAATCACAGCCATTTTTCCAGATGTCATGAGAGTCAAGTGGAAACGTGTCATACTAATAACATCATTTAGTCACACTATAATTTATTAATCTTTAATTGGGACCAACTGAATTTCCAGAAGAAACACTCAAATCACCACGTGTGTCCCAAAGACTCACTACATTAAAAACCAATCATTATCATCATACCTTGCACATATAGTGCTGGTGTTAATAAAACAGTGTTTGATGTAATAAAACATAGCTATTAAGTATATATTAATAAAAATACATATAATGCTAGCGGTGAGGGATAATAAAATTAAGATGGGGGAAACTTGTTACTTAACTGAGTGGTACTATTTCAGTCATGCCAGCTTCAAAGTTTTATAAGCGCATTTTTGTAATTCCTTCACTCTTCAGGGTTATTGACGTCTCTGCTGCTACTTATCTTCAGGACTATTAACACTATCCTTACCTTCTGATATTGTGCACTTTAAGACAAACCTGCCTGCATAAAATGCTTTTCCACCAGTAAACTACAGGAAAAGGATCAGTAATTTTGGCACCTAACACTCTTACAATTTAGTAATTTACTAGCAGCATGGCCCGGCGTTGCCCGTGCTGGATTAAAAAATCGTACGACTCATACACTTGATCGTACGACGCTATCACTTGACTTCAAATATTTTTGCCCTTCCTTGCCTTTAAAGGAGTGCCCTTTGCTGTGCTGATGTTGCTACATGCCTTACTTCTTGCCTATCTCACACTGCGAATTTTTTCTAAGCTCTATACTAAACATTAAATCTGTTACGAAAAAAGAACTAAACAAAATGAACACAAAACGATCAGCTTTAAAAAAAAGGACTCGTAACTGGAAAAACCGAATGAAAAAGAATGTTAAATACTTTTTCACACCCAACCCAGTTCTGCAGAATCAGAATCAACGTTGAGTTTAAGCAAGCGAATGAGCCAATTGGAGTAAAGTGCCATGCAGATTTAAATTTTTCCCCATTTATGACGAATGCAGCTATCGATTTTTTTGCATGCTAGTTAACATTCGTGTCAGTCAGCTGTTGGCTCTCACGCTGGCCAATAGAATCTTCCTGCCTATTCGTGGCAGCCAGCTATTGGCTCTCACTCTGGCCATTACAAAATGGCCGCAAACTACATGAAAACTGCCGTAGAAGCATGAAAAATCGATTATTTCCACTATCGATGGGAATTGGGAAATGCAAAGTCGCTAACTTGGAGCATGTGCATGTAAATTTTGGTGCAAATCCGTCGATAATTGCGGCCGTGCATTCGTTACACATACACATATCCTGCCATATATATATATATATATATATATAAAATTATATTTATGTTCTACTTTTGTATCAAGCACTATTTTTTAAAACCAATAACAAAAATACTAAACAGGATTATTTACCTAACGAGTTCTTGCCTATTTTCTATATATTTTCACACACACACATGTGTGTGTGTGTGTGTGCTGTGCGATAAAAGTGACTCGATTTTTTTTTTTTTTACTAAATGTTCTCTTCTCCGATGAAATGAAAGTTGAGCTAAATTCAAAGGATAAGCGATCTAAAATCCAAAGAAGCTTTGAAAGCTCTTTGAATTCAGCAGTAAGTACTGTCAAGCATCCGCTCAGTATAATGTTCTGAGGGATGCTTTTCTTTTAATGGAACTGGTTTCTTAAAACCTATTGAAAAGACCCTCAGGAGCGAGCAGTACAAGATAATTTCAGAGTCTTGTCTGCTCCCTAATGCGGAAAGGGTGCAAATCGACCCCACCAAGCTCATTTTTATGCAGGATAATGCTCCGTATCACAAATCAAAATTGATTAAGGAATACTTTAATGAGAAGCAGGTGAGTGTTATGTCATGGCCGCCCCAATCTCCTGACCTCAACCCCATAGAAAACTTATGGAGCATTATAAAGTGCAGGCTCTCGAGAAAGCAGTTGAGCTACAAAAAAGGATTTGATTGTGAATTTCATATCCGAATGGAATTCAATGCTTGAAGATGAGATTTGCCAGAACCTAATCAAGTCAATGTCAAAAAGGGTTGAAAAGGTTATTCAAAATAAAGGACGACCCATAGAGTATTAATTATTTCGAACTATATTACCTATTATAAATAAATTATACCTATATTATTCTTTATTTAAAGCTGTTCCGTTATGTTTCTATTGATTACTAGTGGCTGGAAATGAGCGAGTTTTTTTTTTTTTTTTTTTTGCACAGAGTTTTTCCCTAAATCTCATAT